TCCCAACCTTAACGATTCTATGATTCTATAGGGACAGCTTCAGGGACACCTATGTAATAAATCTAATTTCGAATAGTTTAAAAAATGTTTTCGATTGTGAGCCACAGATGTGTGTCCATAAAGTGGAGAAAAGAAGGAAGATAACTGAAATTGCTTTACATTCTTGTAGAAGTGACACCTAGGAGATAACATCACAGGACTTTAAGCACTTTTGTCCCAAGGCAAAGAGAGTCCTGACATAGTTAAAATCTTCACTTTGGCATGTGATTAACATGAAGATACAGGAAAATTGATAGAGCTACATCAATTAAATTCTGTGAAGCCTCTTGACATGTTGATGTTAAAATACCTTGAAAAGCTTGTCAAATCATGAGATACTACTTTTCCTGTATCGTTTTATATCCTCCTCACTCTTTATAGCAGCAGATTCTGATGTCTGCTAAAATGAGAGTAATGGCAACTGCAGTGGGGAGTTTGTCGGTTGAGGAAAAATTACAGCAGTGTTGGAACCATTTAATAAAAGGAAATCTACTGAAACTATCCATTACATTTTTTCAACTTTTAACTTTCAAAAGTATTGTGAACCCCAGTGTCAATACTGAAGACTTTGAAGATGGTAACTCTGCCGTGTGAGAGCTGTTGCTTAATCTAGTCTTTCTTTGTATTTGAAATTAGTCATAAGACTCTTATGCAAGGAGACAACCTTGATAGCCTTAGTGCCCTAGTCCAACATTTTCAGCAACCCAGGTATCTACTGAAGTACAACAGCTCAGTTGTGTGGTTACAAGAAGACACTTGTGTATTGCAAATGTCTGTGTAAGTGGTTTAAATATCTGGGTTTTGCTTTGTGTAGAAATAGGCCCACTATGTTAGATTGGTACTTTCTCTAGCAGTATCATGAGTCTGCCTCATTTTGCAGTGACATTTGTGAGTTATCCACCTATTCTGCTACCAAAAGGAAGTTTGGATTGTCGCTTCGTTTGGCAGTTTTACACAAATATGTTTTCAAGAGCTCTGCTGTGATATTGAGGTTTGTGGTTGTGCATTCTCTAACATTTTAATAGGAAGCAAAGCTGATTCTTGTTTACAGTAAACTCCAGTCAGTGCAGCAGTAACAGGCTTTTGTCTAAGCAGTCATTTTTTAAAAGGCTACCCACTTTACAAATGAGAGCAATTGAAGAGTATTGACAATTAGGAAACAATGGATGGAACTGGTTCGTAGAGGCAGTGTTTGGTATCAATGGTTTTTGCTTTTTGTCATTAACGCATAGTTAGACTGTTGTTGAAAGTTTTGATCCTTGGAAAAGGTGGAGGGGGAAGTTATTTGTCTGGGGAAAAAGTCCAAATGCACAAAGGTACTAGCTTAATAACTTCTGATTAATTTTTCCCCTAATGCTGTCTTCTAGCTGTACAAAAAAAAAATAGTGTTAGTGCCATTTCTTGTAGTATAAAGTTTTCATGAAGACGTGTGCTCTGCTGAAATGTTCCACATGCTTTGCTAAAGGTTACATCAGTCAAAGAATTTAAATAACCTTAAATACTCATGTGTTTAAAAAGTAACTTGTCTTATTTTCTGAGCTTTTTGTCTAAAGCATTGGTGTATCTGTAAAGGTGCCAGCCGTTAACATATTGCCAAATGAAACTGCAAGAATGTTGAGGCTTTTAATGACTTCTTCCTGCTACAGACAAGTGAACTTATGTGCTGCCATAAACAAGGTCACTATATAACTAAGTGATGTTACTTTTAAGAGAGATTTATTTTGTGGAAGTAAAATCATATCTGGATCCCCAAGCTGAAGTGTTGTATGCAGACAAAATGTTTTGTCAGTGGTCTAAGCCCGAATAAAGGGAGAGTCCCTTGGCTGTGTTCAGATACTTGTCCCTGGGAATTTTTGTATGCTTGTACCTACATACCATAGTGAGGAAGCAATGAAGGGGGGAGTAGGCAACATTACGATGCGAGGCCAATACTGTACCACGTTCTTCCAGGTATCCAACTGTTACCAAATATATTGATTTTAAAATACTTCCTTGTGAAGGGTATATGCTGATAGGAGTGTGATTGGATGTTTAAGACCTACTAATTGTTTAATTTGTTTTGTGTACTGCCACTTTCTGCCAAGTTACCTAGCTGGGAATGAATAATTTTTGGTAATAATTCTAAAAATTGTGATAATATTTAGAACTGTAAATAGTAACAGCCATTTGGAATCAGGCAGATGATGCATTTAGTTGATATTCTATCTTTGAGTGACCAAGGCTGTTAATCTCAAGGAAAGGTAAAAATTGCAGTAGGCAAATACAGTGCAACAGAGTCTCCTCTTAAGTTGTAGATGATGCAAAGCGTTAATGCTTTGGGTTACTTAATTCTTGATTTGCTACTCATAAAACTGTACCATCATTCTTTTTACTGAAGCTCTAATAAGGGAAGGAAGTGATACCCAGTGTTCACAAGTATACTTGTATCACAGTAGGAAGGTAAACTTCAAATGATCTCTCCTGTCAGCTGAGATGGAGGGTGGTAGCCTCAATGTGACGGAGTAATGATCAGCTGGATGCAGTAGCGTGTCCAAGAGGATGTGTAACTTTTATTATTGGGTGATTTTCCTTTAAAGAAATTCTAACTCAGTTTTCTGAGTTTTGAGTGAAGTTTGTCAAGCACTAGAGAAATAAACATTTTAACTTGTCTATTTTTCATTAAATTGTTATTGGCAGATCTAAGCATTGAAATTGAGAAATCATTTAAAAACTATTCTAGTTCTTTAGACACTGTTCCTTTTGTTTTTATCTTTAAGGGAGTAAACCAGATTGACAATGATCTGAAAGCAAGAGCCTCAGCATACAATAATCTGAAAGGGAACCTTCAGAATTTGGAAAGAAAGAATGCGTAAGTCACATAGTTTTTTGCTAATGTAGCACAGGAAAGTATCTAACGTGAAAACTTAGTAACATGTGAAGAGGTACAGGCTCTAAGCTTAATGTATTTTTGAGGTGTTTATCAATCTTCAATAGCAGCTGTCATAAAAGAACATTTATTACCAGCTGACTTGCTGGTAATAGCTCACTTGTAATTGAGAAGCAATTATGAAATACACAAAAGCATGTACAAATAGTATAAATTGCTGGAGCTTTTGAGAGAAGCTTGCTGTTAAGTAGCAGTGTTACACACCACTTTAAGTGTCTGTCTAAACAAGGAAGTCTTTCCCTTCACCCCAATTTATGCTTTAAGCATATCAGTGTTACTGGGTTTCTTCCCTCAAAATTAACCAGCAGAGAGACAGCTGCTGCATACATGCAGATGATAAATTAAACAAGGACTGCATGCTGTCTTGACATGTACATGTGATGATTATCTGAAATACAGTTGAGGTACAGTACTTCTGTGCAAATGTGGTTGATTAATTTGACCCAACCCTACCATTACAGTTAATGGTATGAGCCTGCTGGCTGATTCAGAACCATGGGTCGTACTAATGATAGCCATTTTATGAGTGAGCCTTAAGTTCCATCTTAAGCCATGGTAATTTGTCAGCTAAGCCCCATTAAATCTGTGTATGTTCTTAGTCTTTTGTGAATATGAGGCAATATGCTGCTTTAAATTTTTATTGAGGTTCCGTATGTAGGTCTGTACTAGGTTAGTTGTAACTTTGAGGCTCTATGCTAGACTTCACAATTAATGGTTTTAATGGTTCTTGTGTTTTTAAATCACTTTTAAAAAGAGAACTTGGCTTCTTAGGTGTGTGAGGTATTTGGAATGTGGAAATGACGCACAGCAGTGGAACTACTGATAAAAACTTTCAGTGACTTTAGACAGTGAGATATAAAATGCATATAAGGACATTTTGTTTGCTCTGCTAATAGTGAATGCTTAAGTAAAATATAGTTTTGAAAATGTTACACTATCAAGCACTGGAAAGTGTTGCCCAGACATGTCTTAAACATGTATTTACTCTGGCTGTCTTTGTTTCTTTGCAGGGGAAGCTTGCTAACCAGAAGCCTTGCTGATATTGTAAAGAAAGAGGACTTTGTACTCGATTCAGAATATTTGGTCACGTTATTAGTGATTGTACCGAAGTAAGCTTATTGTTTGTCCTAAGAGCAGAATAAAATAAGAAATTTAAATCAAATAATAGATTCCACAACCCTATAATACTGTAAGAAAGGACATATGAATTTGGGGTTTTCCTGGATGAACTAATACAAACTTTTGGATGCTTAGTAGAGGCAAATGAGCCTGTGTACCTGTATTTGTAAGGAATGCTGAGTGCTCATGAATTTCTTTAAGAAACTGGAGGTTAGACTTATGTCTCTTATCTAATATTAGCCATGGCTAGTCATGTTGCAGAGGTATCCGTATGAAAATAATAAGTGCTGAGTAAAAACATGACTTGTTTTACATTAGAAGGCTTAATGATTGAATTATCCTGGTTAGGACTGGCTGGCTTTCACCACTTAGTGAGTGAAGTCAACTCTTTACTTCTTTGCTCTGCACTTTTGCAGATTGCCAGAATGCTGCTTTTTTACTTATTTAAGTCTCTACAATGGAACATTGTTTATGTCATGTTATAGCTTTGCTGGGAACAGGTTGTTCCTGTCTGAAATGTTTAAACAACAAAAAACCTTTTCCCCTGGCCAAGGAAGGTGGTGATACAGATGTCCTCGAGACTTGTAAAATGAGAAAATGTCACTAGACTGTATTCCTGGAGCTGGGAATGAAGACAGCTTCTAACTTGTAAAGATAGCCAGTAGGCTGATTGTCACATGAAGCAATAGTCTCTGTCACATGTAAAACTCTGGTGAAGGCAAAACAGTTTTGCAATGGCTTTAGCAGAAAACGGGTAGTTAGTATATCTCAACTGTGAGTTTTCTTTTACCTTTGACTTGTTTTTGGTGTTGCAAGGGTGGAACCTCTTCACTACCAACCACAGAAAGGCAGGGCTTCCAAAATTCTCAGTGGTCCTTCAGGCAAGTGCAGGACTCTGGGGAACCCATTTGTAATTGCGGAAAAAGTATTCCTATTAGTAACTCAGAAGAGCAGAGTTACATAAGGAGTTTCTGATAAACCTTGACAGTTAAGTCCATTTGGTCCCCTGAGATCTGTACTTAATGATGACTAATTTAATTTCATAGTTCTTTGATTTCAAAAATTTTACACTTGTAAACTTACATGAAGACTGAAGATAAAATATGTTACTTTTGCTGTGATTATAGTTTATTTAGCAATAATATTAAAAACAGCATGAGGAGGACTGTGCCTGATGTCTTGTGTATTTCCGACAACCTACACCTGGGTTGGAAGATGTGCTGATTAAATGTTTTTAACATTTTTTTTGAAAAACTTGATCCATTAATCTAAGATTGCTTACTACAGTACTAAAAGTCTAACCATAACCTGTGTATTCTCTAGGTTAAATTATAATGACTGGGTTAAGCAGTATGAAACACTAGCAGAGATGGTTGTACCACGTTCCAGCAAGTAAGTTGTTAAATGCTAAATCTCATATTTACATGTGCTATATTTTATAAGTGTTCTTTATTTGTAGTGACTTTGAATTTTAAAGATTGGTCAAAAACTTGTCAAAATGTCTAGCTTTATAGCTTTATCTGATCAAGCTTGATTATGTTGTAGTTGAGGAAAAATTCAAAGGATCTCTAACTCTAGGATTAACAAAGTCATCAAACTAACTTATGTGGGAAGAGTAAAAGAATTGAGAAGTTAATCTAGTTCAGGTCAGGCACATTCAGCTTCAAGCTAGCGCATGGTGGGGTTTAGCAGCAAATACTAGCTGCTAGCCTGTAAGCTTTATGCCTGTATTCAGAGGACGTGAAACAAGCTACATATCAGATCTGTGGTGACTTGAACCTTACTAATTCTGACATCTTTTTTTTCCTGTGTAGTGTACTCTTTGAGGATCAAGATAGTTACCTTTGTAATGTCACCTTGTTCAGGAAGGCAGTGGATGACTTCAAGCATAAAGCCAGAGAATTTAAGTAAGACTTATTTTGTGTGTGTTCTGTCTCTCATGGTTTGAAGGATCTCCAGATAGCCACTTTTGATTTTATTCACTTCCAAATGCAGATTTATGGTCCGTGACTTCCAGTATAATGAAGAAGAGATGAAAGCGGATAAAGAAGAAATGAATAGACTGTCAACTGACAAGAAGAAACAGTTTGTAAGTCTGTATAAACTAGTCATTATAGAAACATGAGACAGCTAAGACTTGTTGTTGCTACATAACAATTTCATGAACTTGTGATTCTGAGAAAGCATTGCAAGGATGACATGACGTAGTCAGCCTGCCACCCAGCTAATCTGCTCAGGGATAATTGAGTTTCCTGTAGCACAAATGCTCCTCGCTGCATTGAACCAAGTGCTGATATTGCAGCTGATAATATATGAAGTTTGAAAATGGACAAGCATTTGAATGAAATAATTGGATATTACTAAAATGGTCCTTAATATAGTTAGCCCATGGCAGCTGAGATGGTGTACTGAAGAGACAACAGAAGTCTCATTAAATTTCTCTTTACTTAGTATTGAAACACCCTTGAGCCATTATGTCCATAGCGAACTCTGCTTTTAAGTTGTCTTTATTATCATGGTACAGATATTGAGTATCTGCTCAAATATACTTAATGGGCTGAATCTTTTTCTCAAGTTTGAATAACATAAATTTTTTTTCCTCTTCCCTTTCACAGGGGCCTCTGGTTCGGTGGCTGAAAGTTAATTTCAGTGAAGCTTTCATTGCATGGATTCACGTGAAAGCACTACGAGTTTTTGTTGAATCTGTTTTAAGGTAATGAGGCAGACCTGAATAGTGCTTTTCTTCCTAGACTTTGTAAGAATTTACACCTAGCTTGGGTTTGCTAAACTGAGGTGTGTGAATGCCACTCTTCCAGGAAGGAGGAAACAAGAGGTCGGGCAGTAAGAATAGCTGATGGCAATAGCTCTTGTTGCCGGTTGTGGAATATTTGAGGTAGATAATTGTGCATCTTGCCCCTTGGATAATCTTTCCACCAGTGCTTTAGGAATTACAGGCACTCTGTAAGTTGCAGCAAGGCATTTCTGCTGATTCTTAGCTTGCTTTATGAGCTGCTTGTAAAAAGAGCTTACTATATCTTCTATTTAAGTGGGAAATGTGAATAATTCAGAATAAAAAGTATTCAGGCTTTGAGTAATATAGCTTGGCATCTTGAAATGTATGCTTTTTCTTTAAAACACGGCTTTCTGAGAATTTTGTAGTCTAAACTTTTCAGTATTAAACTGTCCAATATTCTAACTATAAAATGTCTGCTTTTTCCTTCATACCTATCCAGAAGTTTAGTTACTAAGTTGACTTAAGAACAGCTGTAGTTGTTCTGCAGAAGGAAGGATGTGGATTTTTTTAGAGTTGAAAGGACTTATGCCTTACTCAGAAAACAGGAAGGGTTTTTTTTAGCCTTTTTGATAAGTTATCATAAAAGAGACAACCAGAGAAGAAAAAGAAAAGAAAAAATCACATCAGCTTGCATTCTAGTCTGCTTCATAGCCACTATGGGCTTATTTTGAAGACAAACTTGAGTAAGGGAGAAAGCAAGCTGAACTTGATTTGAATATTGGCAAATGTTTCCACACACCTAGAAAGGAGGATTGAGTAGAGACTAGATTCTCCACCTAGTGGCATAAGCAAAGTCGTGCAAGTAAACTAGTTGGAATGTTCAAAACTCAGTCCGAGACTTCAGGTAACTTTGAGAATTGTGCTAAGTGCTCAAGGATTTAAAATTATTTTAAAAGCATTTAGACTTCTGTGTTGTTATTTTAAACTTGAAGAAAGAAGTTCTACTTTATTGATGCCTTATGAATTTTAGAAACAGAATGGTCTTGCAAAAATGAAAATGAGCAGAATTTCCTCTTCAGCAATAGGATTCTTTCTCAAAATAAAATACATTTCTGCTTTGAAAGATAAAAGAAGGCTTATTTAGGCATTTTCATAGTTTTCTGCTTGACTTCCTCAGGTATGGTTTGCCAGTTAACTTCCAGGCAATGCTGCTTCAGCCTAATAAGAAAACAATGAAGAAACTGAGGGAGGTTTTGTATGACTTGTACAAACACCTTGACAGCAGTGCAGCAGCTATCATTGATGTGAGTATTTTTGTAACTGCTACTCCCCTTCAATATTAGGTTTAGTCTGTTTAAAAAAAAAAAGTCTGTTGGCTTTATTAAAAAGCTACGCTTCTCCATATTCTCCGTCACTCTGTCACAGTACAGAAAATTATGTCTCTATAAAAATGCCACTTCTACTTTACATTTTTGCAAAGCAGATGGTATTTAAAGTTGCAACCAATGCATTTGATGAGCTGTCTGGTATAAAAGTCTCACGTAATTTCTTCTTACTGCATTCTTTCCTACTACCGATGGAAAGATATCTTATAGACTGCATACATATTCATATCCTCAAAGAATTCAAAGTCAACTTTGATCTGAGACTAGGCTTAAGGAACTTGAACACATTTCAGGTCTTTTCTGAGCCCAGAAGGAATACATAAATTGTCCACAGTCTATGGTAACACTGGCCTTAATACTGAAACAACTTTTTTTTTTTTTTTGGTTGCATTGCTGTCTTTGTTTTTAAGTTAACATAGTTGTCCTTCTCTACTGAAAGAGGCTGAATTGGTGTCAAGATGGAGTCATCCTTTCCATCTGTAGAGGTCTCATTTTCATGTTTAAAACTGGTTTGCTGGGAGGCTTATTCTACTAATTTGTTTTGTATTGAAAAGCAGTGCTTTTCATAGTTAAAGATTAACTAAAGATAGACTACACAATGAGTTTAGCGGAATTTAAAAGGATTGAAAATAATCTTTCTTAACGTTATATTTAATGTAATGTTTTTCCAAAATGTTTCCAGGCCTTTTTGGGGAAAGGGGATTTTAGACAATTAAGGTGAAAATTAAAGATGCTGAACTTCATGTGACTTCTGGGATCATTCAGCACCCTATAACATTCTTTTCATAAATTGTTTGTGTTTAGAAGTAATAAAACATAATTCCAGTACTTTTCCTTCCATTTAGTGGCGGTGTGTTTACTATAGCAACAGATATGAATTATTGATACAAAACTACTTAGATTTTGAAAAAGCACTTCTATTTCATTTTGAAAAATACTGTTATTCATTTGTCAAAATTCTAACTTGTCTGTTGCTTAAACAGTCACTTAAGCGTTAAAATTTAAGCTTGAAGTTTTGCCTGGCCTATTTGCTTCTAAAACATATATGAATGTTTCATCTACTTCCGAATAAGAGTCTGAATTGTTAGAGTATAACTGGTTTCAAAACTTTGTTTGCAGGCAACTATGGATATTCCAGGCTTAAACCTCAGTCAGCAGGAGTACTACCCATATGTGTACTACAAGATCGATTGTAATTTGCTGGAATTCAAGTAAAAGTTCCCTAACATGACAATCTTCTCAGTGTTGGTGTAAACAAACAGAAGTGAGGTTGAAGTACAGTAATACTTTTAACATTCTACTAATCATATGCTTGCTTCTTATGTTAGGTGAATTTAACACACAGTGGTCCATCTCTAGACATTTTCTTTTTAAAGAACAGTGTAGGTAATCTGCTTTTAATCAATTATGTCTGTAAATGTATATTGAGAGAATTGAAGTATTTATAAACAGAGTGTGATTTATTTAAGGAAAAGCTCATTCCTCTTTCATATGGTGGTCTGTGTTAATTCCATTTACCATTGTTTATAAAAAAAAACTTGTTTACAGAAGAATAGTGCAAATGTTCATGGCCATTTTGTTCATTTGATTTAGTAGATACAATTGTGTTAACGTCGTTGAACTGTGATGTAAAGTATGTAAAATTGGTATGAAATTGTGCTTTCTGAATGGTTTAAAATTACAATCAAAGCACTGTAAACACAGGAAAAAATAAACATACCTGTGCAAATGTGTCACTTGTACCACATATAACTGTAGATACCTGTGTCTAAACTGAAGCAATGTATTAAGTCTTAAAACCAATGCTACATCCTGCATGCAGTGGTACAGAAATGCAATTGACATCAGCACAAATACTTTTAAGATATGCAGGTATTTCTTCTGCTTTGTGCAGAAATGCTAAAGTATGTTGTTTGGCTAGCAAACCTATGTATGAATGTTTTTCATGTTTATACCTTCATGACTGTAAAGAAAATATCTGAGACGATTGTTGGGAAGATGGGAGTAACCTGTGATGCTAACAAACTAGGCTGATCTGGGATTTTTTGGTAATTCTTTGTTCTTTTCAATCAGTTGAAGCTTAGGACTACTTTATGGCTTTGAATGTACTATTAGATGATTGCTTTTTTTTTGGCAGCATCCTTTCTACTATACAGGGAATATGACAGCTTCCTTTTAATGTGTATAGGAGGGGTTGTTTATTTCAGTAGTAGTTATCACAGCTATTACAAGTGTTCTACATATTTCAGTTGCTAAATATGCGGTAAAAACTGCAGTACCTTTTAAAACTGACTTGAATTAAGACTGAGACTGGAGGAGCACTGATTTGTCAAAATTAGTATTTGAAATACTAGATTTTTTTCTGATTTGGTCCTTAACTGAAAATACTAGTACTGTGAATCTAAGCAATGTAGAGCTTTCAGCTATAGAATCTCTAATCGTGAACCAGAAGCACTTTTGAGGAATTTGCTGTCTTTGATAAGCCAACATTGAGATCTCTAATTATTAAAAGAAAAGGCTAGCTTTTGAGTGTAAGAGTTGCATCTAGTTACTGATAATGAAATGGGATTTGAAGTCCATAAAAAAAATTTACTGTGTAAAATTATATTTGCTTTTCTTACTATTTTTTATATTTTTTTTGTGAGACCAAGTGTTCAGTTGTACCCACACTTCCATGCTCTCTCACTTCCTTACAGAAGATAACAGCTGCTTACTGTGTTGACCAGGTTGTTAAAGTGTGTGAGCAAATGGAAGGGGTTTTCCCCTTTATCACCCAGCTTCACCCCTTCCACTGACTTTCGTTATTACTATGTACAAAGATAGCCGTCTTGGTTCTGAGCCCACTGTAACTGAGACAAACTACTTAGGGGTAAAGAGTTGTGTTGTTTGTTTTTTTTTTTTTGTCCACTGGAAGCATTTAATCCAGCTTCCCTGATCACAGAAGAAATCGGGCTAAACTGTTGTCTCTGTTCTTCATCTTAGTTCTCTTTTGATTTTGTTTTCAAAGCCTTCCTACAAACAAGTGCAGTATAAAGGCTTAGGATTCCGGTAAGTACTGTACAGACTGCTTTGCTGTATACTTTTCCCTGTTCAAGGTACCTAGTGCCTGCTAAATCAGCACTAGATTCTTCTCAAATGAATGGAAGCAAGAGGCAGCTGGACAATAGAATGACACCACCATCCAAGGTGAGGGAAGCAGTCAATGTGCTGAAAGACAGGTTTGCTGCTCGGAGGGATGTGGATATGCTGGAGAAATGGGCTGACAGGCACTGCATGAACTTCAGCAAAGAGAACTGCAAAGTCCAGTGCTTGGGGACGAATAAGCCTTATGCACCAGTACAGGCTGGGGGTAGCAGCTCTGCAGAAAAGGACCTGGGACTGCTTGTTGCAGTTGCACTTGTGGCAAAAGCTAACTTTGTCCTGTTCTTAGTAAGACAGTAGCCATCCTTCCCCAATATTTGGCACTTGTGAGGTCACATCTGGGCTCTGTAGTACAAGAAATGAAGTACCACAATGGAGGAAGTCCAGTGGAGGCTACCCAAGCTTGTCAGGGGGCTGGAGCATGTGACACCACGACATACTGGGAGAATTGTGTCTCTTCATACTGGGGAAGAGACAGAGAGAAAGCAAAGGGCAGATGTTACTGGTATTTACAACTGCCTGAGCAGAGGATACAGAGAAGGTGGAGCCTTCTGATGTGCCTGAGCACTTCTCAAAGGTACATGGTAATAAGATGAGAGGCAGAGGACACAAGTTTGAATATGGGAAATTCTCATTAGAGGCTGTGGTGTGTTGACCTTGTCTGGCTGCCAGATACCCACCCAGCTGCTCTCTCACTACCCCTATTCAATGGGACAGGGTAGAAAACAAGGTGAAAAAGCTCATGGGTTGAGATAAAGACAGGGAGATTGTTTACCAGTTATTGTCACAGACAAACCAGACTTGACTTGGGGAAGATTTAGTTATAAAATAAATAGATTTGGATGGTGAGAAGTAGACGAGAAATAAAACACCTTATCCCCCTTCTTTTTTCCGAGGCTCAACTTCACTCCTTTGTTCCCATCCTCCTTCCTTCTGCCTAGTGGCACAGAGGGATGGGGAATGGGGGATTATGGTCAGTTCGTAACAGTTCCTCTCTGCTTCACCTTCCTCCTTACACTTTTGCCCTGCTCCAGCATGGCTCCTTCCACAGGCTGCAGTCCTTCAGGATAAACCTAGTCTAGCATGGGTCCTCTGTGGGCCACATTTCTTTCAGGGCATGTCCACTTGGTCTGATTTGGATCCTCCAGAGGCTACAGTGTGGGTATCTGCTCTGGCATGGACTTCTCTATGGGCTTGCAGGACAATACCTGCTCCACTGTGGTTCACTCTATGAGCTGCAGGGAAATACCTGCAGTGCATTTCCTTTCAGTGATGCATCTAGACTGGAGTTATCTATGGCTGAACAGACTCAGAATTGCTGTTTTCAAGGAAGGGAAGATTATGGAGTATTAAATGTTAGTGACCAGCCATGGAATAGCTGATGTCTGATACCATTAGGCTTTCCTAGTGGTGAAGAGAGAGATACTTTGGATACAGGGGGTGGGAGTTAGTCTGGGTTAGATGTGATTTATAGGGAAAGGCTAGAACCAAAACCTTCTCTCTTTACAGTTTATTACATTTCTGTGGTTGTTAAAAGATTTCTGGCAAATTGAACAGGGTTTGAACTGTGTAGAAATGGAAAATTTTCATTCTGTTTCTGAGCAGCATGCCAGGTGATTAAGATAGAAAGAAATTTGTGGAAGAAATGAAGAACGTAGTCTACGCTGGAATGGGAGGAGTATAGGAATTTTATTTTTATTATAATAAGTAACTACAGATGATTTATGTCCTAATAGGAAAAGCAGGCATAACTGGATTGTCACAATTTACATGTCTGTCATCAAAATCAGAAGGGGAGACAGTGCTGCACAGCAGAAGTAGCTAAAATAGCAATGTACTAATATTTAATAAATTTAACATAGATCTTGAAATGCTGATGTATACCATTTGAAAACTGACAAATAAAACTTACTAATTAAATTGTGAGAAAGCAATACCTGCAGTGAGTTCCAGGATCACCAGGACTGGGGAGAAGAGGAGGAAATGTGGTAGCTAGGAGCTTGTAGAAGGGGCAGTTAAGCAGATGCAGAAAAGAGCTAGTAACTCTCACTAATGAGCAGGAAGGGGTATAGGGGAGTGTCACCATAGCTGAGGACAGAGCGGGAGAGAATTTCAGTGAACTTAAGGAAAATGAACCACAAATGAACTTGTTGGAAGAAAACCACCATCACTCTGTCTGGAAGAAGAGGAGCTGGGGACATACTGTCTGGTCAGCCTCACCTTGATCCCCTGGAAGATGATGGCACAAACTGTATTAAGGCCAGGAAGGTGATTAAGGGCAGTCAGTGTGGATTTGTGCCTTACCAATCTGATAGCCTTCTACAATGAGAGGACTAGCTCAGTGAATGAGAGGAGAGCAGTGGATATTGTTTATCTTAACTTCAGCGAGGCCCTTGACACTGTCTCCTATGGCATCCTCGTTGACGAACTGATAAAGTACAGATTAGGTAAATGGACAGTGAGGTGGACTGAAAACCAGATGAACTGATGGGCTCAAAGGCTTGCAATCAGTGGCATGAAGTCCACCCAGAGGCCAGTTACTAGTGCTATACTCCAGGGGTTTATACTGGGGCCAATATTGTTTAGCATTTTTATTAATGACGTGGATCATGGGACAGAGCGTACCCTCACCAAGTTTGCTGGTGGTACAAAACTGGGAGGAGTGGCTCATACACCAGATGGTCCCCACTCAGAGGGCCCTCAATACACTGGAGAAACAGGCAGACAGGAACGTCATGAAGTTCAACAGGGGAAATGTGAAGTCCCGCATCTGAGGAAGAATAACCCCATGTACCAGCACAGACTGGTGGCCAGCTGGCTGGGAAGCAGTTTTGCAGTAAAAGGACCTAAGGCTCCTTTTGGAAAAGAAGTTGAGCATGAGGCAGCTATGTGCCCTTGCAGCAGAGAAGGCCAACAGCATGCCTTAGGAAGAGCATTGCCAATGGGTCGCGGAGGGCGATTAGTCCCCTCAACTCAGCACTGATGAGACCACATCACAGAATGACAGTAGTTGAGGTTGGCAGGTACCACTGAAGATCATCTAGTCCACCCCCTGCCTCGCTCAAGCAAGGTCGGCTGGAACAGATTGCTCAGGACTGTGTCCACTAAGGTGTTGAAAATCTCCAAGACCGGACACTCCACAACCTCTCTGGGCAACCTTCTCTGGTGTTGCAACACCCGTGCAGTAAAACTGCTTTCTTATGTTTAGACAGAATCTGCTGTGTCTCAGTTTGTGCCCATTGGGCACCACTGAGGAGTCAGGCTCCCTCTTCTTTACACCCTCCCATCAGTTATTCATAAACATTGGTAAGATGCTCCTGAGATGACTTATTTTCTTGGTCAGAGAGTGGTGAGTGCCTCTGCAGTATTCAAGCACTTGCTTCTCAGGCTGCTTTTGTTTTAAGGAATACAGCAGTTAAACAAGGCAATCCACAGTGACCAGCAGATGCGAGATCTTTGGTTTGTTTCTTTTTTTTTTTTAAATGTAATAGCATTTTGAAAGGCTCAGCTTTTAAATCTCTGTTTTAGTTTAATTTTCATAAAGATAATGATTTTGAAAGCTTTCTGAAAGATAAATGCATCTATGTTCTGCTGA